AAACCCCCCCCCCCCCCCCCCCAAAAAAAAAAAAAAAACGCACGCAAATAAGTGTTGCAGTAGGTGATATATTGATGCCATCTGATACTCCTTGATGTATGTTTGCTTTACAAAGAAGTGGTTCTAAAACATCTTGGACTTTATCTGCCAGGCCTGGATAATGGAAATGGCTTCTCATGTGAAGTCAATTGACAGAAATCACTTGCTGGAAGCTGGCTTAGAAGGATTCTATGGTCAAACAACACCTCAGAGGAAGTCACTCAATCCTGGTTTTGATATAGGAACTGATTTCATTGCAAACAATCGCATAACTGGCATCGATTTTGCTACAGTTCATTCCTATCCTGATCAATGGTAATTATCAATGCACAGAAGATTTTAACAAGAAAAAAAACTCACCATTACAAAGTTATTTGAAACCATTAGCATGAGATCCATTTAAGCATCTGTCATAGTTTCTGATAAATAAATTGTATTTGGTTGGGTTCCGGAGTGTTAATGTAGTGGTGTTTTGTGACTTAATATCTTGATTGGGTTTTCTATGGTATTTTACTGAGCAGGCTAACCAGCGCAAATGATCAATCCCAACTCTCTTTTCTGAACAATTGGCTCAGCTTCCACATTCAAGACGCGCAATACCTTATCCGGAAGCCATTACTCATCACAGAATTTGGAAAGTCTTGGAAAGATCCTGGTTTCAGCCCCTACCTAAGGGATCTTTTGTTCAACACTGTCTATTACAAGGTGTACTCGTCGGCCAAGCGAGGTGGTGCAGCTGCAGGGAGCCTGTTCTGGCAACTTCTAAGTGAAGGAATGGACTCATTCCGAGATGGGTATGACATAGTGCTAAGCCAGAGCCCCTCAACTGCAAATCTGATTGCTCAGCAGTCTCACAAGCTCTATCAAATTCGCAAAATATTTGGGAGGATGAGAAACATTGACAGGTGGAAGAGGGCAAGGGCTGCTAGGAGGGCTCAATGGTCTGGTAGAAACAAGTACAAGCCTATTGGAAACTGATTGATTGCAGTCCTTGATATGAAAATGTGTGTGAAACGTTGTCATATTGAAGTTGTGTGTTACCAGGCCCTGAGACTACAAATATGATGTTCTTGGTAGATATTTCTCTCTTAGAGATGAATGTTGTTCATCCAGGAGGGTAGCTTCTTGGGATTAATACCTTATATAGCTTTGACAATATGTATGCTTGATCTTTGTTTCAACTTTCAGGATATGTGTTTATCTGTGTAAACATAAACGATACAATCCCGGTTCGATTCTGGAAAATGACCTTTTCAAAATGGGAGTCAGATTCTTTATTACTTAAGTCTCTTTCAATCCGAGCTTTTGTGTGCTAGAGAAGCTTTATGTTAGTTTAGGATTGATGAATGTGGAGAGCCTCAACTTGTTTACGACATGATAATGGAATGGAACTAATGCTTTTGCGTTTTACGAGTAGTTTCAATTCGCGTTAGTTCCATCCATCTCTTAGCTTTATCTTTGATGATGATGGAACTTATCCGAATTTTATGCCATTGCCAAACAAAGAGGGACGCAAATTGCATTATTTTGCCCCCTATTTTCTGATTGGATCTTTTAAAAATGATTTTCTTTACCTATAAATTATAATATTAGATTTGTTTAGAGCTAGTTTAAATAGGTGGTTTTTAGGAGTTTTAGAGTAAAATAAGTCAGGTTTGTTGGGAATTTGAATCTTGACTTTTTTACCAACTTATACAACAATTTTTTTTGATCCAAAAAAGTTAATATAGATCGATTCAAAAAGTTTTTTTTTTGACTTCTTGAAATTTTGTTATGGGTTTCGCATAACTTTTTAGTTTATTATATTTATAAAATATTATTAGTGACGTAAAAAAATTTGAAATTCATATTTTGAGAACTATTATCCATAATCAATACATACATACATGTAAATGGAAAAATTCTAGTTTTGTAAGTCGGAGTTCATAATAGAGTAGTCTTGCCTGTGACACCCCAAAATTCGGGCGGTTGTAATTACCTGATTAATCACCCATCGACCTGCGGAATACTTGTGGATACCGTGTAATTCGATACCACACCGTTATGCCCCATTTCTCGGGATCCATAACTTAACAAAATTTGGGCAGAATCTCATTTGTACGAGGGGCTCTACCCAAAACGCAACCTGTATAATATTGACCACACCGGGTCTATCCATCCATTCACAATTGTATAATATCGAATACTACCATAATCATTATCAGTACATACATTTATTCGTAAAAGAATAAATGTCCCAAAAGAGTCTCATATACATGCCTTTGTAAATATAAACAAGTTTTTGCTACAAAAATTACACAAGACCAAAAGTAAATATAAACGAGGGACTACAGTGTCAAAATAAGAGCCACATACCAGCTCTGTCGTCAAAGCAGGCCCATGGCCTCGCCTTCAGTGGTCGCCTATGCGATACCTGAAAAATGTTCCCATAAAGGGTGAGCCAACGCTCAATAGAGTAACTTCTATAGAGAATACCTCTCAACCTAAATGCATATGGAATGTCACATGCAACAATTATTTGATGCATTCATTCAAATATGTCTATTATAATTGAATGTCATAAATCATGTCATACCATGAGATGAGACTCACGCAAACAATACCAACCCCGAGTCCCATCCTGAGCTCTCATAACACATACAATGTCATGCGTATGTATTCGGGCATTCCAAGCCCCCATCATTGGTGTTATGTACACTTAATGACTAATTAATTCATTTTCTTGTGTCTTTGTGGGGAGGTGATTTATGGTATTACACCAATGGGACACCAACCATCAACGGATCTTCAGGACATCTCATCTGCGGCTCCGTTTTCGCCGTTACACTTTTCTGGAATTTCACCGCCAGAAAATGTATAAACTAAGTAAGCGGGTCTTGCACCCGAGGGAGAATTTAACCCTTTTTACTATCCCCAACACATTTATCCATTTAATTTTTCATGTGACTCAGCCGAACCTTGGTGTAACTTTTTTGAGCCCACGATCAACCACCTATGTGGTGATTGATTTCATACCATGCATATACTCCCACCCATGTCAATGCCCGTGAATGTAGTGCAACCCATGCATAATGCAATATAATGTCCATTACATAATGAATACAATATAATGAAATTTTAACACGATCTCAAGCATGTTATGTAAGATAATCAACTCAACTAACATACTTGTATTCACCTAGACATTTAATCAAACACTTAAATAGCACATCAATTTACACAACTAGCATGCTATGACTTTCAACATGGCAACATGTTTGTTAATTATATAAACATAAGCACAAGTCCATCAAAATAATCATATGTTAAATAATCTTTTAACATATATATTATTTCATAATCACATAACAAGCTAATAATTTTATTAAACTTGATATGTCATTAAAACATAAAATAATACTAATATACAATTAACATGTTTTAAACCACTAACATTAACTTACACCAAGTTAATCGTAATAGGATTTTATTAATCACAAGGTTAATTATAAATCCTATATTTGACTCACTAGTTACACTAGTTAAGACCTAACATGTGATATACATCCATAGCCTACCCATTTCATATGCCATATTTTAAGTTGAAATTAAATCTAAATAGGGGAAACCCTACCTCTCATAGCGTGAGCCCACTTACTAGAACTCCAAAGAAGCTCAAATTTAGCTTCCTAAGCCTTAGGCCTAAATTATTGTCTTTGATATTCTTTTGGAGAAAAATACGATATTTGGTGTAGTTGCGTAGTTTTCGCTGAATAAAGCAACTTTAATTCTTGGTCTGAAACGATTAAACGGTTAAATTTTCGTAAATCTGAGAAGGAAGAAAAGAAAAAAAAAACTCACTTTTCTCTCACTCTCTCTGTCTCGTCGGCTAGAGAAGAAAGCGAAAGACTTTTTAAAGTCTTTCACTTATATATATCTATAGAATAAATTCATTGTTTTAAAATTTTACCTTTTTGACCCATACTTTAACAAATAATTATTATTTTACCCATTTAATTAGGATTTTTAATAATAATAATAATAATTTTTTTTCTGGGTTTTACATTCTCCCCCCTTTAAGGGAATTTCGTCCCCGAAATTACATATATATGCACATATAACAACATATATGTGCAAAAAGTCATTAAATACTCTATAACTAACAGAGATGTATCTTCATCCTCGAACAAAAATGGATAGGTAGCTTGAACAGTGTCCTCATGCTCCCATGTCGCCTCCTCTACCCCACGGTGTTGCCATAGCACCTTTACCAGCCTTACAGTCTTTCCTCACAAAATCTGTTCTCGGCTGTCCATGATACGTACTGGTCCCTCCTCAAAGGTCTCATCCGCATCAACCACTAGTTCACCCCAATCCACCACGTGTNATGGATAGGTAGCTTGAACAGTGTCCTCATGCTCCCATGTCGCCTCCTCTACCCCACGGTGTTGCCATAGCACCTTTACCAGCCTTACAGTCTTTCCTCACAAAATCTGTTCTCGGCTATCCATGATACGTACTGGTCCCTCCTCAAAGGTCTCATCCGCATCAACCACTAGTTCACCCCAATCCACCACGTGTGTAGGATCTGGAGTGTACTTTCGGAGCATAGAAGCATGGAACACCGCGTGAACACCAGATAAATTTGACGGTAATGTCAACCGATAGACAACTGTACCAACCTTCTCAAGTATCTCGAAGGGCCCGATATACCTTGGCGACAGCTTTTCTCGCTTTCCAAACCTGACCACTCCCCTCTTAGGCATCACCTTTAAGAAGACATGATCTCCGATCTCGAACTCCAGAGGTCGTCGCTGTCTATCGGCGTAGCTCTTCTGGACGCTCTGAGCCGTGATAAGACGTTTCCGTATCAAGTCCACCTTCTCCGAAGTGTCTCTAATCAATTTNAGCCGTGATAAGACGTTTCCGTATCAAGTCCACCTTCTCCGAAGTGTCTCTAATCAATTTCGGACCCGTGGAGGGTCTCTCTCCAACCTCGGTCCAACAAATCGAAGAACGGCACAACCTTCCATAAAGTGCCTCATAGGGTGTCATCTGTATACTCGCCTGATAATTGTTGTTGTAGGCGAACTTTACTAATGGTAAATGCTCCTCCCAACCACCCTTGAAATCAAGGACACATGCCCGTAGCATGTCCTCTAAGTTCTGGATAGTCCTCTCTAACTGACCGTCCGTCTGGGGATGAAAAGTGGTACTCATCATCAACTGTGTTCCCATGACCCGCTAAAAACTCTCCCAAAAATGGGACGTGAACCTAGGGNATTTATGGTATTACACCAATGGGACACCAACCATCAACGGATCTTCAGGACATCTCATCTGCGGCTCCGTTTTCGCCGTTACACTTTTCTGGAATTTCACCGCCAGAAAATGTATAAACTAAGTAAGCGGGTCTTGCACCCGAGGGAGAATTTAACCCTTTTTGCTATCCCCAACACATTTATCCATTTAATTTTTCATGCGACTCAGCCGAACCTTGGTGTAACTTTTTTGAGCCCACGATCAACCACCTATGTGGTGATTGATTTCATACCATGCATATACTCCCACCCATGTCAATGCCCGTGAATGTAGTGCAACCCATGCATAATGCAATATAATGTCCATTACATAATGAATACAATATAATGAAATTTTAACACGATCTCAAGCATGTTATGTAAGATAATCAACTCAACTAACATACTTGTATTCACCTAGACATTTAATCAAACACTTAAATAGCACATCAATTTACACAACTAGCATGCTATGACTTTCAACATGGCAACATGTTTGTTAATTATATAAACATAAGCACAAGTCCATCAAAATAATCATATGTTAAATAATCTTTTAACATATATATTATTTCATAATCACATAACAAGCTAATAATTTTATTAAACTTGATATGTCATTAAAACATAAAATAATACTAATATACAATTAACATGTTTTAAACCACTAACATTAACTTACACCAAGTTAATCGTAATAGGATTTTATTAATCACAAGGTTAATTATAAATCCTATATTTGACTCACTAGTTACACTAGTTAAGACCTAACATGTGATATACATCCATAGCCTACCCATTTCATATGCCATATTTTAAGTTGAAATTAAATCTAAATAGGGGAAACCCTACCTCTCATAGCGTGAGCCCACTTACTAGAACTCCAAAGAAGCTCAAATTTAGCTTCCTAAGCCTTAGGCCTAAATTATTGTCTTTGATATTCTTTTGGAGAAAAATACGATATTTGGTGTAGTTGCGTAGTTTTCGCTGAATAAAGCAACTTTAATTCTTGGTCTGAAACGATTAAACGGTTAAATTTTCGTAAATCTGAGAAGGAAGAAAAGAAAAAAAAAACTCACTTTTCTCTCACTCTCTCTGTCTCGTCGGC